TTTAGGCTGGGGGGCAGAGCTAGCTCTTATTTGCTAACTCACGCGGGAGGTCACGCACACTTCTCCTTTGTTCTCCATCACACACATTGGCTCAGAAACACAATCTGGACCTCAGGGTCTGGGGGACTGGTCCAGGCTCAGCAGCCTTCTAATCGAACCCATTCGTGGCTAAGAATCCTCCCAATAACAAACTGGACAAGGGTCTGCTTGAAGACCTCCAAGAACCATTTCTCATGTGACCTCAAACCTAAGCTGGTCTCTCCTCACTGCTCCTGCTTCTGCCCTCTGGGACCAACCAGAATGAGGCTAACCCCTCCCTCCTCCATGGGACAGCCCTTCAAATACTTGAAGACAGTTGTCCCTTTTGCCAGTCCCCAGGCTTCTCTTCTCCAGAATAAACATTCACACTTCCTTGAACCCATCCTCACATGGCATGACCTCAAAGCTCCTCCGCCACTCTGGTTACCTTCCTCTGGATGCTTTCCCTGCTTATCAATCAACCAATACACTAGTATTTATTAAGGGCCTACTATATGCTGGGCACTGGGCTACAAAGAAAAGCAGAAACACGGTCTCTGCCCTCGAGGAGCTCACAGTCTGCTAGGGTAGACAACATGCAAAGTACTATGCACCAATGAGACATACAGGACAAATGGGAGGTAGTCTCAGTAAGCTCAGGCCCCATCTCCTGTCCCACAGGTCTCCCACACACCCCACTCTCTAGCCCTGCTTCATCCTTCACTTTATCCCTGCAGAGTTGGTTTTTCATTCCAAATACAGACCTTTATATTTATCTTTCTTAAATATAATCTCATTTGATTTAGCCTGCCAGCTTCCCAGTCAACTGGACTCTTAGCATCTATTTCTTCCTGGACTCTTCATTTTCCCTCCCCTTCCCTACACTTTCCCCATAACCAATCAGTTACCAAGTTCTCAATATCTCCTGCACCTTGTACAATAATAACTCTATTTCAGTCCATCATCCTCTCTTGCCTGGACCAGGGGTGGGGAACCTGCAGCCTCAAGGCCACATGTGGCCCTCTAGGTCCTCAAGTGCGGCCCTTTGACTGAATCCAAACTTCACAGAACAAATTCCCTTCATAAAAGGATTTTTTTCTGTAAAACTTGGACTCAGACAAAAGGACGCACCCAAGGACCTAGAAGGCCACATGTGACTTCCAGGCTGCAAGTTCCTCACACCTGACTGGACCATTGCAAAATAGCCTCCTAATGGGGTTCCCTGACTTCAGGCTCCCCCTTCCCCAATACATTCTCCATCCACCTGCCAAATGACATTCTTAAAGCACAGGTCTGTCCATGTCACTCCCCTGCTCCAGATGTTCCGTTAACTCCCTCTTGCCCCTAAGATAAAGTATAAATACCTATTTGGCATTTTGCGGCTAGGTGGTGCTGCAGTGGATAGAGACTAGGGCTTGGAATGAGGAAGACTCCTCTTCCTGAGTTCAAATTCAGTCTGAGACACTTACTAGCTCTGGGACCCTGGGCAAGTCATTTAACCTTGTTTGCATAAAATGAGCTGGAGAAGGAAATGGCAAACCACTCCAGTATCTCTGCCAAGAAAACCCCAGGTGGGGTCATAAAGAGTCAGACACAACTGAGCAGCAACAATAAATTTGGCATTTTATTTACTGAAGAGCTTGGTTACACAGTTCGTCTCCAATGTACCTTTCTACACTGATTTCATATTATTCCTCTTGCTCATTCTCTACTTCTGCCAAGGTGGCATATTTGCCAGTCCCCTTATACATGATCTTCCATTGTCTGCCTTCTTGTCTCTGCTCAGGCTTGGCCTATGCTTGGCATGTTCTCCCTCCTTGCTGCCACCTCTTTGGAAGCCCTAACTCCCTTCAAGGCTCAACTCATAAGTGCTAAACATAGTGATTAGAGATCAGATAGGTCGGGGTACTAACAACTGGGGAAATTAGGAAAGGGCTCCTGAATGAGGTGGCCACCTATCCCATCCCTAATCACTATGTTTATTTTTGTATATTTATCTTGCATGCACTTATGTGTAAATATACTTTCTTAGTAGAATGTAAGCCCCTTGAGGGCAATGACTGTTTCAATTTTGTCTTTGTATAGACATACACTTAGCACAGTTGTCTGGCACAAAGCAAGTGCTTAACAAATGTTCGTTTGACCTAGAAGCTCTGAATTTTGGCTCTGATGTTCCTGAGAGTTTTGGGGTTGCTTTCAGGACATGACTGATGAATTCTTTTCCTTTCCACTTTGCCCTCTGGTTTTAAGAGACTTGGGCTGTTTTCTTTCATGATTTCTTTAAATAGGATGTCCAGACTCCTTTTTCATTTGGTCATGGCTTTCAGGTAGTCCAGTGATTCTTCAATTATTTCTATTTGATCTGTTTGCCAGATCAGTTTTTTTTTGTTTTGTTTTGCTGTGAGATACCTTATATTTTCTTCTATTGATTCCATCTTTTGAGTTTGTTTTAATATTTCTTATGGAATCATTAGCTTCTTTTTGAGCCATTCTAATTTTCAAGAAGTCTGTTGCTTGGCTAAGATTCTGTACTTCTTGTGCCAAGCTGTTAATTCTCCTTCAAAGTCTTTTCCTTCATTGCTCTCATTTCATTTATAAAATCGTTTTTAACTCTTTCTTATAACTCTTGCTTCATTTCTTCCAGGAATTCTAGTTGAACTTGGGTGCAAGCTGTGTTTTACTTTGAAGCTTGTAGAGTCTTATAGTCATCCTCTTCTTGCAGGTTTGTATCTTCTGTGTCCCCGACACCATGATAGCTCTTCATTGTGGAAGTCTTTTTTTTTTGTTTGTTTGTTTCCTCATTCTTCTAACTCTACTTCGCAAATTGGGACTTTGTGTTAGAGTCAGGCTTTGTGAACTTCCAGAGGGAATGTCTAGGCCTTGATTTATCTTTATATTCTTTAGGATTCTGCTGTTGATTTTACTATTCCTACAGCACCACTGAGTGCTGTGTTCTTCAAGGATTTCAGTGTTGGCTCATGTTGAGGACGTACAAGTTTTCAGTGTGCCCAAAGTTGTCTGATCTGGGGGAAAATTTGATTGGTGGCCTTTTGATCTTGTAAGCTTCTGACCCTGGTTCTAGTCTGGGAGAAAGAGCCAGGCTTGCCCCTGGTTGGAGCTCCAGTAGACTGCTGCTGACTCCAGCCCCCGTCAGCTAGCTGGAAGGCTCTGCAGGTTCACAGTCATGGAACTGCAGACTTTCCCTTGGCCTGAGCTCCTTGTCCTTGTTACTCAACTGCAGGACTCAGATCAGTCTGGGAGTTGAACCTGAGACCCTACCTCAGGGTCAGAGCCTCACAGCTGCTGCTTGCTCTTGCTCCTGCTCCTTGTCCGGTATATGTGTGGCCCCAAGTCAGTAACTTCTCCTTACCAGGACATCCACCTCTAGATTTAATTTCCTTCTTCAGTCTACACTGCGTCTGGGACCCAACTCTAGTGTAAGAGGGACAGAGCTGCCAGCCTGCACCATGTCAGGCGGCTCTATGCTGGATCTCAGACCTCTTCTTGCATAGCCACAGGCCCCAGTTCAGTCTCTGAGTAGCTCCCTCCTGGCTGGAACATTTTCTTAGTGTTCAGGGACCTGTCTGTCTCCCTGTGTTGAAGTAGCCTGTTATTTTTCCTTGAATTTCTAGATCAGAACTCAGGCTGGTGCTTTTCTAGGTCTTTGTGGAGTAGGGGTGTGTGTGTGTGTGTGTGTGTGTGTGTGTGTGTGTGTGTGTGTGTTTGTGTGTGTGTGTTGGGGGGTGGCAGCTCAGAACTGGATTTCTCCTAGTTTGCCATCTTGGCTGTTGCTTTTTAGATACAGACTGCCAGTGTGTCTGCTATCCTTATAAGTTTCAAGTCATCAGAAAATTGTGTTTACTATCTATTCTCTTATTTAAATCATGGATAAAAAAATATTGAATAGAACACTGAGGCATTCCATCTTCCCTCCATGTTAACCTGATATATGACTTATAAGGAAGGAAGGAAACAAGCATTTACTAAGCTCCTACTATATGCCAGGCACTGTGCTAAGCACTTTACAAGTGTTAACTCATTTGATCCTCACAACTACCCTGGGAGGTAGGTGCTATTATGATCCTCATTTTATAGTTGAGGAAACTGAGGCAGAGAGAGGTTAAGTTGACTTACTCAGGGTCCCACAGCTAGGAAGTGTCTGAGGTCAAATTTGAACTGAGGTCTTCCTGAATCCAGGCCCAGTGCTCTGTGCTCTATGGCACTACCCGGTGGCCTCTGTAACTTAGATTTTCAAGTTTTAAGGGACCCTATAAAATCACCTAGTCCAACTCCTGCATTTTATAGAAGAAGTGATTCAGAGAAAACCACATAGACGAGCCAGGTCTTTTCATTCCAAATCTACTGCCTGATCACTCATATTTGGGTTAGCTCCAAATTCACCTACCTGGACCCTCAATTCCCCATTCTGTCTACTTACCTATTGATATGCCCATCAAAGGAAGGAAATCAGATGAATCTGGCAAGACCTGTTCTCCCTGATGCCACACTGGCCCTCTAGGGTGCATGCTGCCCAGTCCAAATGATCACAAAGTGTTCCTCTAATAAAGCTTGCTGCAGTTGTGGTAGAAACTGTAGCCACGTTCATCGAATCCTAGACTTAAAAGCTAGAAGGGTCCCCAGAGGCCAGCTAGTCCAAACCTCTCATTTTATGGAGGAGGAAACCGAGGCACAGTGAGGGGGAGGGACTTTGTACCCAAGGTCACACACAGCTAGTAAAGTCTAAGGGAGGCAGATTTTGATCTTTCCACTTCACCACATTCCCAGCCTAAATAGCAGCTGAATCTCTCCGTTATGAAAATTGGCACGGCACAGCCCAGCCCTAGTCAACACAACCACTTGGCAATCTCCTCTCACACCCCCCCTCCCTCTTATGCACCTGGCCTTTCTTAACACCAGATAGTCAAACATTGCCCAGCTATGGCAAACATTGCTCTGGTCCTAGGAACCCTACTGGACCTCACCTTGATGAGGAAAAGCTTGCTGTTAAGCAGGTTGGCGAGCTGGTTGAGACCCTGTTTTACTGTGGCCTGGCGGGCATCTGGCACATCTATCTCAGATCGAAGTGGTGAGCCATGGTGGCCAGGAAAGAAGACCCGTTCAGTGAAGGTTTTATAATCCAGGAAAGGGATGCCGCTGCCTTCCAGATCACTGCTGAGGTCTGTCATCTCAGTCATCAGATCTGCCATGGGGGGGGGGGGGGGGGGAAATGGCAAATGGGATGCATGAGGCCTGGGTTCCCAAAGAGCTCTCTCCCTCTCCCTCTCTCCTTAGTGCTGGTAGTGATTAATAATAATAACAATAATTAATAATAAAATATAATTAATAATAATAGCAATAGCTCACATTTCTATTGTACAGTCAATTGTTGGTGTTAGCAGATATACCTCAGGGTGGGCAAACATTAAAAACCAGAGCTCGATTTATTGTTTTGTTGATTTCTAGACTCAAGGAAATGAGGAAAATGTTAATAATGCAGATTCAACTTGAAAGTGTGTCCTGCATGAGTATTGTCCTCGAAGAGTCAGTTGTTAAATATTTGCCAGCACACACCTGCCTTTGTTTGCAGAGAGCTTTACAAATGTCATCTTATTTGAGCCTCACAGTAGCCCTGTGCTCTTATTATATCCATTTTACAGATGGGCAAGTTGAGGCTGAGAGAGGCTAAGTGACTTGTCCAGGATCATATAGCTATAGTAGTAGGTGGTGGGATTTGAATCTAGGTTTTATTGAGGCCAAGGCTAGTGCTCTGTTCATTAAACTGGTGTCAAACACGAAACCTGTGGCTGCCCAAATATGTGTTGGGGGGTGGGGGAGGAAGAGGGGAACAAATTAAAATGTAATTGGGAAATATTTAACAAAATAAATAAAAATAGACTCTGGGCAAGTCACTTAACCCCAATTGCCTTTAAAAAAAAGAAAAGAAAAAAAAGAAATAAATAAAAATACAACAGAACATAGATAACAATCATTTGTGGTTTTCTAAGTCAATATGAACCCAGCAAGGATCCTTAGGTATGCATTAATAGCCCCAGTTTCTGCGCTACACCATGTTGCTTCAAAGAAAGCAGACCCCATGGGATGAGGGGTTCTAGTCTTCAAGACATGCCCTATAAAGTCTCACAGGTCTAGAGGCAGAGGCAGAAGTAATCTGTAGGGGATGAGGGTCTGTCCATTACAGGCTGTAGAATAGCCAGCATCTCCTCACTGCCCCTAGCTAGCCCAGACTCTCCTGGCCCAACCCAGCCCAGCCCAGTCCAGCCCAGCCACCTGTAAACTCTTTTCGGCACTGGTCCCCGACACTGATCTCCAAGTTTTCTAGCTGCACAAGGACTTTCTTGTAGTCTCGCATAGCCTGCTTGCTCTTCCTCCTGCAGCAGGACAAAGGCCAGGGCAATCAGGGACTCCAAAGAGCATGAGGAGAAAAGGAATGGGGAGAAATAGTAGAACGTAAGCCCTTTGAGGGTAGGGATTTTCATTGTTGTCTGGATCCCGGGGGGGTGGGGTGGGGAGGGCTTGCACATAGTAGGTTCTAAATAAATACTTGTTGAAACTCTGAGGTGCCATCTCACACATATCAGATTGGCTAATATGACAAAAAAGGAAAATGACTGGGATGTGGGAAAAATGAGACACTAATGCATTGTTGGTGGAGTTGTGAACTGACCCAACCATTCTAGAGAGCAATGTGGAGCTATGCCCAGAAGGCAACCTAACCTTGCATACCCTTTGATCCAGCAATACCACTTCTAGGTCTGTATGCCAAAGAGATCATAAAAAAAGGAAAAAGATCCACATGTACAAAAATATTTATAGCAGCTCTTTCTGTGGTGGCAAAGATTTGGAAATTGAGGGAATGCCCATCAATTGGGGAATGACTGAACAAGTTGTGGTATACGAATGTAGTGAAACACTGTTGTTCCATAAGAAATGATGAGCAGGTGGATTTCAAAAAAAACCTGGAAAGACTTACATGAACTGAATAAATGCTTGTTGAACTGAAATCAAAAAGTTTGCAGGTGCCTCGGGTATCAGAAATGGATAGGATCTTAGGAGCCCGCTAGCTCGACCTCCACATTTGATTTGATTTTTTAAAATTTACATTTTATTTTTTCAGTTATTATCAAGCATTTTTTTCTCTCTCACCCCCCACCATGGGAAAAAAAAAGAAAACAAGATCTTTGTAACAAACATGCATGGTCAGGCCAAACAAATTCCCATATTTACGACCCATGTCTAAAAATGGCCACCTCTTTCTGCATATTAGTCTAGCCTTTCTGTCTCTGAGGTGGGCGGCATTCTTCATCACTGGTCATCTGGAATCATCAACCCTCATCTTACAGATGAAGTCTCTAAAGCCCAGAGAGGAAAGGTGACTTGTCCAAAGTCACAATAATTTGTGAAAACCTAGGATTCTTTCCCCTGTCTACTGACTAATTAGTCTAGTTTTTGAGAGGGTCTAGCCTTTGGGCCAGTGTGAAGGGGAGTTTAGCCAAAAGAGGAAGGAGAGTTGATGGGAGAGAGGAGAGGAGAAGGGTGCCAACGAGATGAGCTAGAAGGATGAGAGATCACCTGTACATGAGGATGAGGAGGAGGACCATGGAGATGAGCACAGCGACTCCCACCCCCAGCCCAATCTGGGCCTCTGTCGGGAAGCTGGGCAGGGCAGTCTCCACCTCATATTTCACTGGGCCTAGGTTCAGCCGAAGGTTACCCATCTGCACCTGAAGACAAGGAATGGGACCAGGTATTTGGGGGCTGTTTATCGGTTTTCCCCCTCCTTTGGGGTCCACTTCCCTTCCTTATGGGGATGGTTGTTAATGTGACCAGAAACTCCCTGTCCTCCCTTATTAATCCCATCCCCCTCCCAATATACTATTTGCTATGGAAACCAAACCCTCTGTTCTCTCTTCAAGATTTGGGATTGAGGAGGGAGAAGAAGGTTAAGGACTTACTATGAATTCAGGCAGGGCACTGGAGCTATTGAGGGGCTGAGGGGCCCACATGGGGGGTTCGCAGTACAAGTGAGTAAGCGTCAATGTCTTCACCACACACTCGCCTTTTCCAATTTGCACTTGGACCTCCTCCTTGCTGATTCCCAAGTTTAGCCCCTCGCCCTAAGGACGGGGAAGGGAGAAGAAGTGGTGAAACCCATTTTGAATCCCACTCCGTTCTCCCTTCTGCTCTTTAGGGTCCTATGTCCATCTTCCCAGTTGGGAGGCCATCATTCACTGGGTTTGGCTGAGTCCTAAGGATGCTGGCCACCTTCCCTGCTTCCCCTAAAATCTGACCTCAAGCCCTGGTGGGCTGGGCTCAGGGTCAGCTTCAAGGAGTGAGGCCAAGGATGCCAAGGGTCTCTTGAACCCTTCTTCCCATGCCCTCCTTGCCCCAATCCTCACCTAAGAGCCAGGCCTCTCCCTCCCACCCCTGGGGGCCAGGTTGAGGGCTGAGTGTGAATCATAGTACTTCTTCCTGTCCTGCCTGGAGCCTAGACTCTCTGAGACTCCCCACCTCCCTCCAGGCACTGCCTGCCATGTTGGCTCACCTCCACATCCAGAACATTGCCAGGCTTCAGGCGGTAAGGATGGGCAGGCCTGTCTCGGCTCAGTGGATGGAGGCGAGGGTTGGGCTGGTATAGGAAGTCTTTTCCGCCACTTGCATTGATGAAATCCACTAGGACATTGTCCAGGGCGAAGAACATCCGTCTTAGGCGGGCAACCCCAGGGACTGCAGGACTTGGACACAGGAGCAAGCCAGAGGAGTTGGCTGAACAGACAGTGGAGCACTTTGGGGGAGAAAAGACATCCGAGGCTCCAGCATAAGGGGACGTGGAGCAGGGGGAGAAGATGTGGGCAGGAGGAGGCTTGGTACTGGTGGTGGCAGGTTGGGGGACTCACCTCCAGAAGCCCCGCCTCCAGCAAGGTACAGGTCTGGGAGGCCATAGTGCCCTGGGCAGCCTGGGGACGGCCCCCATCTTCACAGTGATGCTCAGCCAGCTGCTTTGGCTCTAGCTGTTGGGGCCCAGCTGGGGCCTCTTCCAGCCACACTGACAACTGGGGCCTCTGAACCACATCCAGATGGGTCCCCATCACCCGGATCACTCGTCCCCCCCTGTCCCAGGAGGGTCGACTGTCAGAGGGAGCAGTGAGTCCAGAGCCTCATTCTCACCCCCTCCACACCCCATCCTCCCCTACAGCACTCCCCTACCCCGCCTGGTGACACATCCCTTCTGCCTCAGCCATCGCTCCCATTTTTTCCCCACTCAGGCTGGGACCCCTCACTCCACAGGGAAGGCAGAAACCCAGCTCTGTTAGTCCAAAGTGGCCCTGATTGGGGCTGTCCCGTAGCCCTCATCCTCACCCCCTGAAGCTGACGCTGGGCTCAGCCGACAGGAGCTGGGGGTCGGGTTTGTAGGAGAAGTGGCCTTTGGCCAGCGTCCTCTGGGCCAAGTCGAAGACCACGCGGAGATCCGCCTCCCCAGGGGTGGCCCGGGGCCCAGTCAGGCATACAATGGCTTCAGGGCATACAGGCCCCTGGCTGCATGGAGAGTGTGAGTTCTTTGTGACTTGTTGCCTGAAAGATCTTGTTTTCTCCTCTTCCCTCCCCGCCCCCTTCCTGGACTCTAGCCCCACCCCCAATCCACAACCTCCCTAGGGGCAGAGCACTAGGCTGGACCCCATGAAGAACACTGACTAGAAGGACTGGCAGAGGGGCAGGTTGATTCAGAGAGGATCCCATTCAGATTTAGAAGGTCTTTAGTTAAACCCATTGATTTTACAGATGGGGAAACTGAGGCACGAAGAAAAAAAAGTCAAAGGATTGGCCTAGCAGAGTGAGTGAGTGGCAGAATCTAGGACTAGAAACCAGATCCAGGGCCCAGACTCTCTCATCTCCTGGAAGGTAGACCTAGATGTCCAGGCCACTCACATAAGGCAAGGCTCATCTCCCAGGAAGGCTCTGACGTTACTCTCTGTCAGAAAGTGTTGCCCGAAAATGGTGAGGAGAGTGCCTCCTGCCTTAGGGCCCTGCCAGGGACTCAGAGCACTCAGGACAGGGTCCTAGAGGACAAAGAACCAAAGGGAAGAGGGTCTCAGGGTCCTTCAAGCCCTTTGAGAGAGGCCAGAGAAGGGTGACAATGTGGAAGTGCCCTCCCATCTCCCTCCTCCCTTCCACCATCGATCTTCTCCACGCACTGCTTACATTGCCTTCTTTCACTCTTTCCTTGTCTCCTGGTAATCTGACTTCCATTCACTCATTCCATTTATTCCCCAAGAGTCTAAGCACCTACTGTGTATAAGGCAGTACTCTAATCCCCAGAATCACAGACTGTCGGAGCTGGAAGGGATGGAATCCAACTAGTATCTAAACACAAATCTCCCCTATAACACTCCTGACCAATGGGCAGCCAGCCTTAGCCCCAAGCCCACCACTCCAGGGAGAAGACACTTGCTACTTCTGAGGCAGTGCCTTCCACACTGTGAAACTCATGAAGTTTTTCCTTCCATCCAGGCCTCTGGCACACAGGAGGCACTTAACAAAGGCTTTTTGATCAACTGATTGATTGATTGCTCTTAAATCTACCCTCCATTGGTTATCAAAATGGTACCAAGGGCCAAAACCCCATCCCAGCCTTTCCACCGAACAACACAGCTCTTCATTTTGTCTTCTCTGTCTCTCTCAAAGGCAGCAGCCCTAACCTACACCTTGGAGCCACCCTAGACTCCAGCATTTCGTCATTGCCCCTCAATGCTTACCACCATCCAGTTGGTGGCCAAATCCTGTTTCTCTTTTCCACTTGAAGGCTCACCACTTGAGTACAGGCCCATATCATTTCACACATGACCTCACTGTTGGATGGACCTCCCCAATGCCAGTCTCTCTCCTTTCTAACCCATCAAACAGGATAGTATTTGTAAAGTGCTTAGCACTGTGCCTGGCACATAGTAGAAGCGCCCTACCCCCATCCTACAGACATCACTGTCTGTGTAGAGTTGAGGGGAAGGTAGAGGAAGAAAACTTGGGAAGCTGAGGGAATATGGGGATGGAGGGTAGATCTAGGGACTGACCTGGTAGGTGAAGAGCTGGGCAGACTGGCTAGGTGGACGGTTCTTGATGGTAACTTTGATGGGGCCTGTGGTATCCTTAGGGGCAGGTGATGTTACACATACTATCCTGGAGGGGGGGAGCGGGGAGGCTGCTGGAATGACCTGGGAGAGGATCAGCTCCCTCTCCCAAAAATGTCTAAGCCAGCACCGAGGTTAGCGGAGCAGGGAGAGGGGAGCACAGTCCCCCCCCCCCAACCCAGGGCCAAGTGAGAGCAAGGCATCTTCACCCACAATCAGATGCAGATTGACAGATGGATGTTGTGTTCCAAAGAAACACAAACACACACACATATCTATCACTACTGCCCTGCTCCCTTCTCATGGTCTGACCCCAAGGTCATTGTGCTTCCACTGTGTCATGTGCTTTCTCTCTTTCTCTCTCTCACTCTGTCTCTCTCTCTCTGTCTCTCTCTCTCTCTGTCTCTCTCTTTCCCTCTCTTTTTCTCTGTCTCTCTTTCCCTCTCTCTTTCTCTGTCTCTCTTTTCCTCTCTCTTTCTCTGTCTCTCTTTCCCTCTCTCTTTCCCTCTCTCTCTCTCTCTCTCTCTCTCTCTCTCCCTCCCTTCTCTGCTTCTGTCTTTCTCCTTGTCTCGTCACTCTTTTTCTTTGTCTCCCCCCCATCTGTCTGTCTCTCTTTTCTGTTTTACTTTACTTCACTCTCTCTGTTTATCCATTTTTTCCTCTTTCTTTCTCTTTTCCTGTGTCAACTCTCTACCTGGCTCTCCAATTCTCTCTCAGTCATTCAACAAACATTCCATGAATACCTACTGTGCTCTACGGGCTGGCTATACAGATGAATAGGACATCATCCCTCCTCTAGGAAAGCTTTCCTTCCAGCAGTCTTGCTCTGCCCAGTCTGTTTGGCATTTCAAATCCTCTATGATCTGGCCCCATCCTACCTTTCCAGCTTTCTTACATCTTACCAACCCTTCCTTCCCCCCCATCATCTGGATCCAGAGCACCCTCCTGCTCCCTCTCCTTGCTCCAGGGATGGCCACTGGCTGGCCCCCACCCTTGGACTTCTCTCCCCCATCTCCACCTCCTGGCTTCCTCCAAGTCCCGCCTTCTCCTAGAACCCTTTTCTGGGCCTCCTGAACTCAGGGGCCTTCCCATTGTGGTTCTAGCCAGTTTATCATTTCTCCACAGTGGTTTGCATGTTGTCTCTCCTGTCAGGCTATAAACTCCTTGAAGGCAGGGCCTACCTTTGGCCTTTTGCCTCTCTTTCTCTTGCCTATCCCCAGCCCTTTGCAGGGTGCCTGACACATAGTAGGCACTTAATTTATGCTTGTTGACTGACCATTGCTCCTTCTCTCTGTGGGTGGCATCTCCCTTCCCAGCTCTCCATCCCTCCTCCCCTTGACTTCTATTTCCACTCTGTCCCAAGCACCCCTCATCAATAGCCCCCTCACTGGGTGGAGATGCGGTAGAGGGTTGGGTCCAGGCGACAAGGCTGCCCTGCAACGCTCACAGCATCCGTCACATCCTCCAAGCGACTGCCCAGGTTAGAGCCCAGGATGGTGAGGACCACACCCCCCTCAGGGGGGCCTGTCAGAGGCTTGATCTGCGAGGAGCAGATGAAGACAAGTCAAGCCCAAGAAACTTGGGGGCACAATGGCTGGGTCAAAGTCCAGAATTCACCAGCCTTGGCCTGAGCTGGGGTTAGAAGTCAGGATTTTTTAAAAAATTTTTTTTTCAATGCAATTGAGGTTAAGTGACTTGCCCAGAGTCACACAGCTAGTAGGTGTCCAGTGTTTGCTGTGAGGTCGGATTAGAACTCAGGTCCTCCTGACTCTTGGGCCCTTGCTCTATCCACTGTAGTGCCACCTAGCTGCCCCTGAAGTCACAGGATTTGAGAGACAACTCTTCTGTTCACAGAGGAGTGACCTCAGGCCCAGAGGGGATAAGCAGCTTGCCCAGGTCTCATAGCTGGCAGAGTTGGGGTGCAAAGCCAGGGCCTCTGAGCCCAGAGCCAGCCCTTCTCACTGCACTGTTCAGGCAGGTTGGGGGTTTCAAGTGGCAGGGGGCCAAGCACTTGGACCTTAGGGATCTTTACCCTCTGCTAGCTTGCTGAGTTGCTTATGGGGTGGGGCAGAAAGGGCACAGCTCTTCCTGGAGGGGGGTGGGCAGAGTTAGGATTAGGGCCTGAGTTGAGGGAGGGTTATTGGTTGGGGCTGGGTTTGGGGTTTTGAACTGGGATCAGCTTTGGGGGTTAGTTGACGTTGCCTCACCAAGTGGATGCTGGGCAAAGGACAGAGTGACTCCACGGCTTCTGGTGGGCACAGGGGCCTATAGTTACAGGCAGGCCTGCCCTGGCCACACCACACACAGCTCAGATTCCTGGCAGCTGCCTGGCAGTGACTGCAGTCCTCATGGCCCACAGTGCAGTCGTATAGGGTCACTGGAGGTGGGAAGGGGGACGATGCTTAAGGTCTCTGAACTAAGCCCCTTCTCCATGGGTACCCCTTTCACCTCTAGCCCCCAGTAACTGCCTCCAGCCCCAAGGGAGCAAGGCTCCCCAGGGCTGGCCCTTGGCTCTGGGGCCCTCTTTCCCTGGGGCCCTAGCCACTCACCATATATGTCGGCAGCATTGTCCACTCTGTGAGTGTTGCCCCTGGTAACATAGATGGGCACTCGGAGCTCCTTCCGGGGAGGAGAGGGTCTGAACTGTAGGGGTAACCGTTGTGAGGGGGGATTGAGGGTGAAAGAGGATTGCAAGTGGGGGGAGGCTAGGAATGGGTCCCCGGAAGAAGACACTGGAAAGTTTCAGGGATAGGAAGATGGGAGGGAAGACAGAGAGGGTCATACCTGCTGAGCTTGGCACCAGATGAGTTGTGTATCACCGTCTCCCTCTTCCAGGGAGGCCTGTAGCCCCAGAAGGGCTCCTGGCAGCTCCAACCAGCAGTGATAGGAGGCTGCCTTGCTCTAGGCAAGAGGAGGCAACTCTGTGGGTTTTGTCACGCTCTTCCCTCCCTCCCTTTCTTCTCCATCTGTCCCCCCTCCACCCCACCCCCATACCTGGTAATGATGTAGATTCCGAACCCTCAAGGCAAGCCTGGTCTCCCAGCCCACAGGAACAAGGTGGGATGTGCCCAGACCTTCCACATGGGGGCAGAAATCAGGGCCCTTCATCAGGACGTCTGCCTGTGGAAACAGGCAACCTCAGTGGTGGGAAAAGCTCTTTCAGCTTTGCTGGAGGGGTAAAGGGTCGGGAAGGGAGGAAGGCAAGGGAAGGCTGGAGCAGATAGGTAGGACAAGTGTCTATAGAAGTGGGGGGATCGGCAGACATGTCAGCTGCACCCTCAGGCAGAAATTCAATGAGAGAGAGCCAAGGAGATGGGGAAGATCAAAGCTCTCTTGAGAAACTTACTTCCTGGGCATGGTAGACGGTCTTCTCCCCATCTGGGCACCCATCCCCATACACACAGAAGGCACTTTGGGGGCACCAGTGACATCGCCAGGGGCTTCTCACGCATGCACTGCACCTGGGCACAGGGGTGGGATTCAGCCCCAACCACTCTCGACAGGGGTCCTTCCACTACCTGAGGTGAGAAGGCTGAACCCCCGGAGGTGGGTGGGAGTGTCTGGCCCTGTGTTTCCCCAAGAGATAGCATGTCCTGATGTGAAAGGAGGTGAGGCTGGGCTATAAGGGTGGCCACAGTGGGGATGATAGCCAGGAAGGGGCAGAATGAGGGCCTAGGACTCACGGAGCAGCTACATCCAAGGCCCCAGTAGCCTTACAGTCATAGAAGGAGAAATTGGTGACAGCTACGGATACATCCTCAAACATCAGGGCCAATGGCACTGTGACATGATCTGCGGAAGGGAACATGGTTAGGGGTAGGGTTGGGGGGACAGTCTGCTCTCCCACCCCCTGTCCTCCTCTCTTGCTGTCCCCCCACATCCCCTCTGTCTCCTGGGGTACCATCTCTCTCTTACCTGTGCCCTCAGTATTGGGTGGCAATTGGTCCTGTGGGGGTGATTCACAGACTACCTGAGTTCCTTCCACGTAGGCCAGCGTCTCATAGTTGTCAAAGGCACAATGGAAATACTTGTCTGGCACCAAGGCTGGGAGCTGGGGCACCACCATGGTGACCTGAGGAGCAGAGGGCAGGGAGGAGAGAAAACCGGGAAGTGGGAGAGACACTAAGAGAATCCAATGCTGAGATTTGTCCCCCTAGCCCATAACCTAGCCCAGATTGACCTGGGTCACTTGGGAGCCCTGCCTGCCCCAGCTTACCTGGCCCTGCTCCTGGCGAGGCTGCTGGCTGGGCACCAGGCTTTGGATAGCCAAGCAGTGGCTTCCCTCAGGGGGTCCATAACTCCACAGCCACTGATGTTTCTGCTCAAATCCTGTACATTCCTCCTTCCTCACACACCTGCAGGCATGCACAGGGTGGGAGGGGGTGCCATGACAGGTAGGGAGAGGGGAGAGATAGGGCAGAGCACATCCATTCCAGGAACCTGGGCATACACCCTCTACTATGTCCCAGGCCTTCCCTTCTCTACCTACCCCCAGCTAGGCACTGTCCACTCCTCCTGACCTCAGTTTTAGCCAATAGGAAGAAGAAATGAGAATTTTGTAGGTGCAGGCCTTATGCAAATATGGATTCCCCACCACCTCTCCCATATGTACTTTCCTATGTCTTACAAGAGGCTTCTCTGGGCCCTCACACTATATGGACAGCTCTTCCTGGCCTGCCTTACTCTGGGCAGAGTTTATTGGGCAGAAAAGAGACTCAGGCCCTAGGTCTAGCTAAGGAGTCAGGCCTCAGTAGCCCCAGGAGACCATATTTGCCAGGGATCCCAGGCGGCGGCTGGGACAGGGAGGTCTGTAGAGACTGAGAGAGAAAGCTGCTGGGAACTTCAGTGGGCAGGGAGGGCTCTCTGGAGGAGGTGGTGGCAGCAGCCAAAGATGGGTACCCTTGGGACAGGCAAAGCGGACAGAGTGTGCCAAGGTGGCGAACCACCATGGCTAGAGTACAGAAAGGGAACAGACTGAAAGAAGGTTGGAAAGGCAGCTTGGGCCAGCCTGGAGGGCTAGGGGAGGAATTTGATCTTTTACCCTGTAGGCACGGTACCTAGGCATGGGGGTAGGATTCAGCCTCAATCATTTCTGTTAGAGCTTCTTCCTCCTACCCTAGATGAGAGGCCTGGGCCCCTGGGGAAGGATGAGGGCATCTGGTCCCTTGGTTCACAGGCCCTGGTGTGAAAGGGGGTGGGGCTGGCAGCAATGTTTTGAGTAGGGGCTTGGCATAGCCAGACCTGAGCTTGAGAAAGATTATGTTAGCTGCTGTGAAGGCTAGGTTGGAGTGGGGAGAGGCTGGAGGCAGGGAGAGAGAGACCTCTAGTCTAGGTGGGAGGTGATGAAGGCCTGGTCAGAGTGGAGAGGAGGACCCAGGAGTCGAGCCTGAGCCTAGGAGATGATGGTGTTTCTCACATAAATAGGCAAGTCAGAAGGAGGAGCTGTTTGGGGAGAAGAAAATGAGAAGCCAACCAAGAGAGATCATGTGTGTTTGTAGAGGGCCTCCATAACCAATGAGCTCCACCTTCCTCCGGTGTGGTTAGGGCCGGCCTATATCAACACAGGCCCTTTATGGGGCCTATATTCAAAAGGCCAAACGTAAGCCTATGCTGTGTACTATATATGTAAGCTGCAGCAGCCTGCTTGGTTAGGAAGCTCAGGCTTCCTGGTATCACCAGGACCACTGGTCCCCAGCTCTTCATTAGAGGGTGCTGCTCTGATCCCTCTATCCCAACACTCACCTGCCCTGAAGGACACACCAGCCACAGAAGGGGTCCTGGGCTTGGAGACAGCTGGGACAGTCAGTAAAATGTTGGCAGGAGGAGATGGGCACCTTGTTCACCTGTGGAAGAGGAGTCTCAGCTAAGTGAGAGGGGGACAGAGAGGCCCCAATGCCCTCGTCATCATCTCCCCACCCTGCCTCACTTGAGAAGTCGTCATGACGTAGAGATGGCTCCCGTTCCTGTCCAGGAGCAAGTCAGGGCTCACGGCAGTACCTGCGGGGCCCACGGGGAGGGAGCTATACAGCTGCCCTGTTGAGCCATTCAGGAACACCTTGGGGAGACAAGACCCGACAGCCGTAAGTAAGGAAGGGGATATCTGCGGGGAGAACAAAATGGAACATGAAGTGGAACCCTGCTGTCACTCTTCACAGCTCCAAATGCCCTTTCTGTACCGAGGGACAACAACCAGCTGCATCCTGGGAGAAAGAGTTTGGGGATGCTCTGGGCCCTGGGGCTCTCTCCATTACTTCAAGGACTAGAGTTGCCTATAAAAGTGTCACAGAAATACAAGGGATGATGGGGGAAGAATGGTGGTGGCTATCTGTCATGGCTGACAGCAACAACAATGACAATGGTGGCAGCAGCGGTGGGCATCCCGCTGAGTGTATCAAATCAGGGAAGGCAAAATCTTCCAAACAGCATTTTTGGTGGTAGCAAAAAAGTGGAAACAAAGTCGATGGTCAATGAGTGGTAAAAGGCTAAATTGATCGTCGCACATATGAATGTAATGGGATATTATGGCACCGTAAGAAATAATTCATACAAAAGATATAGAGAAACAGAGGAAGACTTGTAAGAAGTGGTGCACAATGAAAAAAGCAGAACCAGGAAAACAATATACTACAGTGATGCAAATGGAAAGAACCAAAAAAAAAAAAATGTTTTGTCATTCCAATGGTCAAGCTTGGCCTGGAGAAGAGATGAGAGCATGCACCTCCCTGCTTTCGTTGAAGAGGTGGGGGGATATAGGTGCGGATCATTGCATATGGTATCAGACTTGGCCAACGTTTCGGTTGTTTTTTTGTTTTTGTTTTTTGTTTTTTGTTTTTTGTGAGGCAATCGGGGTTAAGTGACTTGCCCAGGGTCACATAGCTAGTAAGTATCAAGTGTCTGAGGCCGAATTTGAACTCAGGCCCTCCTGACTCCAAGGCTGGTGCTCTATCCACTGTACCACCTAGCTGCCCCTGGTTAGTTTTACAGAACTGTTCTTTATTCTTTCTTTTGAAATCATTGTTACATGGAATGGTTCGCTGGAGGGGAGAAGGGAGGGATATATTTGGAAAGGAAAGTGATGATATCAAAACAAAAGACATACATTAAAAAACCACTCGGGGCCAACTCATTAAGAAGGCCTTTCCTGATTGCCCAGGTCGTAGTTATGCTATGTTCTTCCTGAAATGTCTTCATATTTACTTACTCATGTATATGTTACATCTCTTCTTCCCCAGCCATAGTCAGGAGAACATGAGGGCAGGGAGAGATTCCTTTGTATATCTGGCTGGTAGCAGAGTGTACCACTTAAGGATACGTTGCCTGAACTCATTCTTCAAGGGTTGGCATACTCTCACCCTATCACACTCTCTTCATTCCAGTGACTCTGAATCCCCAGTTGTTGTACAAACCTTATTCCTCATCTCCATTTAAAAACAATCGGTAGCATTTCTTTTTGCTTTAAGGTTTGTAAGGTACTTTATATATATTATCTCATTTGATCCTCAAATCAAGGCAGTGAAATAAATGCTATTTTTATCTCCATTTTGCAGATGTGGAAACTGAGGTTAAGTGACTCGCTCAGGGTCACATTGTAAAGTGTTTGAGGAAGGATTTGAATCCTGGTCTTCCTAACTCGAGTCTAGTATTCTATGCACTTCACCACCTAGTTGCCATTTCCTGTTCCTTTGCTTTCATCTCCCTCAACCCTAACCAGCACCCTACCCCACTCCCACTCACTGTCTCACTCCAAATCTATCTTACCCTGTGCTCTCTGGAATACCTGCTCCATCATTAACATAACATTGCCTTCCTCTTAAAACCTTTTCCTTTTCTACTCCCTCTGTCTTCTGGTTCTCACTGAATACTGGCTCCCTCCTCATGATATAGTTTTCCTAGCAACTCCTTCCAGCACTGGTTGAACATTTACTCACACTGCCCCTTTCCCCCCTCATTGGTCAAATGGGAGTTATAATATTCTGTATTCCCCAATACCAGCTCCAGGTTCTCCCTTAACCACCATCACTCAGTAACCTCATCTCCTTTTACCATCCCTCAATCCATATTTCCCACCCAATCAAGATTCTGGTAGCTGTTGTCTATGGATGCCCAGATCACTCTCTTTCCTTCCTCAGTGAGTTCAGGGCTTGGCTTATAACCTTTCTCTACTTCCCAACTCCTACCCTCATACTAGGGGACTTCAACATATACAGAAGACTCCCTCAAACACCCTAACTTCCAAATTCCTCAACCTATTCATTTCCCATGACCTCCACCCCATCTCAGCTACACACAGACATAGATGGCCATACCCTTGTTCTTGCCATCACCCACAAATGTACCACTTCCATGCTCGTGAATTCTGAAACTCCTTTGTACCCCCCAAACAGGCAGGCAGCTTCCCCCTTTCCTTTTCAGCATCTTTTTGTGTGCTGTCTTCCTCATCAGATTGCAAGCTTCTTGAGGGCTCAGACTGTCTTAGGGCTTTCTTTGTATCCTAAGGACTTAGCACAGTGCCTGGCACATAGTAGGTGCTTAATAAATGTTTACTGACTCTTAGTTGAGAGTCTTATGTCTTATGACCCCCTAAACCCTGGTCTTCATCCTTAGCCTGACCTCCAATCCTTTCATTCCTCAATTTTTTTCCCATGCCATCACCACTGCAGTGGTCTACGTTCTCTTCCCTTCCCTATCTTGACCCCTTGGTGAACCAGTTGAACTCTAAACTCAAATCCCTTGCCTATCACTCCTTATCCTATCACTGATCGTGCTCTGCCAAGCCTCAGTTTTGGATTATTTCCATCAACTGCTGCCTTTGATCTCTATTCATGTCTTGGGTCATGTCCTGCCTGGGTCCCATACAAATTTATGTTCTATCATCTCAACTGGGCCCTCTCTACAAGACAATCATTTTCAGATCCTTAATATATTGGCGATCCCAGTCACCACAGAAATTTTCTAAACCTCCCCATTCATCCTCAAGTCTCCTATGGCTCTTCCTCCTTCCACTGACTCAGCCATGAACTTTGCCTCAATTTTCCCTAAAAAAATTGAAGCCATTTGTGGAGAATCGGTTTTTTGTTCCCTTCTCCTATCATCTTCCTGCACTCAGGGTCTTCCCCTATTATCTCCTTCACTTAGCTCCTTGCCAAAGAGAACCCCTCTATATGAACTCTTGATCCTATTTCATCCTGTCTTCTCTAGCAAATTGACCCTGTATCATCCCCACTCTCTCTAATCTTCACTCTTTTTTTTTTTTGGCAATTGGGGTTAAGTGACTTGCCCAGGGTCACACAGCTAGTAAGTGTCAAGTGTTTGGTCCGAGGCCAGATTTGAACTCAGGTCCTCCTGACTTTAGGGCCGGTGCTCTATCCACTGTGTCACCTAGCTGCCCCTAAAATATGTTTTCTTGGTGTGTGTGTGTGTGGTTTTTTGTTTTTGTTTTCTTTTGGTTAGGCAATGGGGTTAAGTGACTTGCCCAGGGTCACACAGCTAGTAAGTGTTATGTGTCTGAGGTCACATTTGAACTCAGGTCCTCCTGAATCCAGGGCCAGTGCTCTATCCACTGCACCACCTAGCTGCCCCTTAATCTTCATTCTTTCTGGATCCACTGGTTTCTTCCTGCTACCTACAAACACACCCACCTCTCCTCTATTCTCAAAAAAAACTTTCACTCGATCCAACTATCCCTCCTGGATATCTTCCCGTATCTCTCTTTCCTTTTGTGGCTAAACTTCTTGAGAAAGCTGTCTACAATCCATGCCTCTACTTCCTCTCTTCTTACTTGTTTCTAAGCCCTCTGTGTATCTGGCTTCTAACCTCATTATTCAATCGAAAGTGATTTCTTGCGTTTTCAAAAGTTACCGATGATCTCTTCATTGTCAAATCAAATGACCTCTTCTTGACCCTCATCGTCACCTCAGCCTTGGACACTACTGGTCCTTCTTTGTCTTCTTTGTGATCTTCCAGATCACACCCTCTAACCATAGGTGTCCCTCAGGGTTCCATCCTGGGCTCCCTTCTCTTCTGCCTCTAGACCCCTTCACTTGCTGAGCTCATCAGCTCCCATGGATTTAATGACCATCTCTGTGCTGATGATTCTCAGGTCTGATCTCTGCTGACCTCCAATCTCCCATCTCTAACTGCCCTTCAGACATCTTGAACAGAATGTCCTGTAGACATATCAAAATCAAAATGTCCAAAACAGAACTCATTTCTCTTCCCCTTCCCCCACTCCCAGCCCTCCCCTCTTCCCAACATCTCTATTACTGTCGAGGGAACCATCATTCTCTCAGTCATCCAGGCTCCCACCCTGGATGTCATCTTCAAACCCTTACCTTTTCTAACCTCCAATTGCCAACCTATCATCAGGTCCTGTCGATTGCACCTTTGTAACATCTGTCTAATACTCCTCCTTCTCTCCTCTGACACTGCCCCAACTCTGGTCCAGGTGCCTGGACTACTGTAATAGCTGCTAGGGTGGGGTGGAAGGGTCTGCCTGCCTCCAGTCTTTCCCCACTCCAGTCTATTTTCCAATCAGTGGGCAAACTGATCTTCCTGAAGTCCAGGTCTGACCATGTCACCCCCACCCCCAACCCAAATTCAATCAACTTCATTGGCTCCAATATCAAATATAAAATCTGTTTGGCATTCAAGGCCTTTCAAAACCCAGCCTCTTCCTACCTTTCTAGTCTTCTTATAGCATCCTCCCCTTGATGTACCAGAGACCCGGCCTTTTTGCTGTTGTCTGCACGGTCCACCCCATTTCTTGACTCTGGACAGTTTTGCTGGCTGGCCCTCATACCTGGAATTCTCTCCTCCTTCATCTAGGCCCTCTGGCTTCTCCCATTTCCTTCAAGGCTAAGCTCAAATACTACCTTCTACGGTAGATTTTTCCTCGGTTTCCCCTATTGTTAGTGCCTTCCTTCTCACTCTGAATAGAAACTATGTTATGGTTTTGCCTTTCTTTGTATCTTTGGTGCTTAGCAAAGTACTTGGCATCTAGTAAGCACTTAATAAATGCATGGTGATAGCCTGTTGAGCTGAATTATATCCCTACAAAGGCAGGTAGGTGGCACAGTAAATAGAGAGCTAGGCCTGGAGTCAGGAAGACCTGAGTTCAAATCTGACCTCAGTCACTTACTAACTGTGTGACCCTGGGCGAGTCATTTAACTTCTATCTACCTCAGTTTCCTCAAATGTAAAATGGGGATAATAATAGTACCCACCTCCCAGGGTTGTTATAAGGATCAAATGAGATAATATTTATACAGTGATTGGCACATAGTAGGAATATTTATTTCCTTCCTACATACCTGGGAAGCTGTCTTTGTCCTTCAGAGGATAACCCCAACGTCTGTCAAATACCCTTCAACTCAAGGAATTAAGGGTGAGAGCCTTGTGTCTATGTTTCAGTTCTGACCCAACACAGGTCTGCAGAAGGCTACACACACAAAATCCTAGCAGAGAGCCTCAGATCCTTAAGAAGATCCTACACAGTAGAGGACCCCAAGAAATACTTGGTGAATGAATGATCCTACAATTTGCACAAAGCTATCACCCACTTAATGGCGTCCAAGCTCCCTTCCCACTCCAGAGTTGGGATCCTAAGTGTTTCTGAAGGCCAGAAATCAATGAGCAGCCCCACCCCACCTCACCTTCTGTGTACTTATATAGGGCCTATATAAACAAGACAGGTAGTCTCATTGTAGAAAAGACATCAGCCTTGGAAATCCAAAGCATTGTTATCTACTTTGGCTCTGCCACTAATATGCTCTGTACACACTTCTCTATTCTGAGCCTCAATTTCCCTAGCTGGAAAATGAGAAGGATGAGCTCAATGACTAGATCGCCTCTAAGGTCCTTTCTAAAAGGAATAATCTAGTAGTCTATAAAGATTCTTACCTCGAACTCTACCCCACCCCCTAGGTTTGCACAGGCCTGGAATTTGTGTATCAACTTCAGTCCTAGTTGAAGTATCTCACCTTGTGTAGCTGGCTCTGGGTGTCCCCCAGGAAGATGATAGTGTGCCCGGCTTCTTCGAGAGCAGCAACAGCACTGAGGTGGGGGATGCTGGTGAACAGGGGCTCTGCCTCCAGTGGCTGGTGGCTGGCAATGGGACTGGGCGTGTGCTCGTCCCCGCAAGGGTATGAGTCCGGGGAGTCCTGGGGGTAGGGGCCCAGGGATAGGTCAGGAGAGCCTTCAGGCCCAAGCCCCAAGGCGGGACTCAAACAGAGAGAGATGACTAAGATAGGGGAGACTGAGTGGAACAGAGAAAGAAATGCGGGCACATGGGAAAAAATAAGATACTGAAAGAGACACAGAGAGAGACAAAAGCTAAGAACCAGAGACATCAAAAGAAACAGAAAAATGAAGCTAGAAAAAGGGGTTGAGCCAAAGAGATCAGAACCCATTGCCTCCCCCCATTCCAGCTGGCTCACTGAGGGCAGGAAGACACATCGGGATGTGACACCGTATTCAATGGTAACCTCTTCCCCATCTGGGCCCTGTCCGCCCACAGTGTAGCAGAGCCTCCGGGCCCGTTCCATCCGTCCATCGACCTCCTGTAGTGGGAAGGCACACAGCGCGGAGCCTCCCATAGGCCCTGGGGAAGCCACTACCAGCAGGGTTCCCCCTCCTTGGCCTGGGGCCAGGTAAGCTGCCTGCACCAGGCTATGACCATGGCAGACGAGTGGCATTTCAACATAAGAGTACAGGTTGGCATCATTCAGGCATACACGGGCAACATAGGAGCGGTAGTCAGCCTGGGTCCGAGACCCCCGACGACGGAAGATGAAGTAGGCAAATTGGGTGCCTGCAAAAGCCCCCACATAACTGTTGTTGTAATCAGAGAAGTCCCCTACAACCAGGCGGCCTAGGCCTTCACTGGAGAAGGCCTGAGGCCCAGCCAGCTGGCGCACAGTCAAGGGGGGTACCCCAGCGGACAGCTTGCCTGCTAGGCCCCGGGCCACATACAGCAGGTCTCTCCCTGGGGTTGACACCACAAGGCCCACAGTGGCCACTCCTGGGGCATTGGCAGCTACGAACTGCCCATCACCGGGGTCTTCAGCCCGGAAGATAAGTTGTGCCACATTCTTCAGACTCCGCTTCTCGCATACACCTTGGCGTACCTGCCCACAGGCCACGAGCTCCCGTGCTCGCCCACTCACAAGTAGCAGTTGGTTGGCATTGTCTGTGGGCCGGGCTTGTGGGCACTCGGCTGGGTCCCGGAAGGGCAGGCAGTCGGGACTGTCCCATATGGGACCTGTGATGGCCTCACCTACTTGCTGCAAGTCAGGTGTCAGCTGGTACAGGTGATTCACAGCACCGACATAGAGCATGCCTGTGTCAGCATCCATGGCCAGGTGGTTGAAGGTGGTATTGGGGGCAGAGAAGTGGTGGGCAAGGGCAAAATGCCAACTTTTCCATGATGACAGTGACAGCAGCAGGAGAAAGAGTGTTAGCAGCATCTTGGGGACCTATACCAGAAAGGCGTGGGGAGTAATCAATCAACAGCTACTTCCCTGTCCCAAGGAACTTGAAGTCTAATGGGAGAAATGGCATTCTATATGGTGAGATGAATAAATAGGTCAATCAATCAGCCCATACCAAGCAATGAGCTAAGCTGATTGGAAGAGTTGGCAGATGAGGTAGGGGAATGCTAGCTGATGTGTGAGAGGGGAGGGGGAAGGTTATGTGGAGGCAGATAGCAGGAAAAACTCCCTGCCAATCAGAACTGTTCCCAATTGGGCAGTTCTTCCTGCTTGGAAAGGCATGGGGCTTCCTCTCCTTGGAGATCTGCAATCAGAGATTGGATGGCCACTTGCTGTGGGAGGAATTCCTTGGTTAAGTGGGGGGTGGACTAAATGAAGGCCTCTGGGGTCCCTTCCAGCTTGGATATTCTCTGAAGTGGAGAGGGCCTATGAAGGCCCCAGGCAAAGAGAACCTGGCTCTAGCCCCCAAACCATCAACATGGGACCCCTCAGGGCTGGAAGAAGGGAGTCTATGGTCAATCCCCAAACTGTTCTCCCCTTGCTCCAAGCCCCTCTCCCCTCTATAAAACAGAACCAAGGTAGATCTGAGGGGGGCATTAATCACCCAAACAGTCCCAGGTACAGTTAGCAGGAAATCATTGAGTTTCCCACTGCCTCTGTGGTACCTTCATAAAGAAGGGTGATTTGGGAGGAACTCAGTTTCTGTCGATTTCCCCTCCCTCCCTCCCACTCAGCCTCTCCCTCCCCTCCCAAAAGTTGGGCAAGGCCCCCACTCTGGGGGGGGAGCAAAGAAGCAGAAGAGTGTGTCTCTGTCTCCAGTGCACAGGGTTGACCAACCACATCCATACTCACCCATCCCCACCTCCACCCTCACTACACACACATATGCCTCCCTCACACATGCCCATACTACCTCACATTTCCCCATCTCCACATCACTCCCCTCCAAATCCTCACCCCCTCCCACAGCCCTCCCTCCCATATACCTCTCATGACACAAACACACAAACACCACACAGCCCCACCCCCACATGTTACCCCCCCAATACACATACACACACACACATACATGCATATACCACACAGCCCTACCCCTCCCACGTGTTACCTCCTCATATCCACATACACAAACCCACACATACCACACAGTCCCACATCTCCCACATATTACCCCATACATATATGTACAGACAGGTACTACATAGCCCCACCCCACTTGTTACCTCCTTATATACACACATACAACATGCACATACCACACACCCTACACAGTCCCACCCCTCCCGCATATTATCCTATACACATACACACAGACACTTATTACACAACCCTACCCCCCATGTGTTACCTCCTCACACACACACACAGATACACACACACACAGATACACACATATCACACAACTCCACCCCCCACATTTCCTCCCCATACACACACACAGACACACACATACCACATAGCCCCACTCCTCCCATGTTACCTCCTCATACATACATACACTCACACATACACACACCACACTGCCCCACCCCCACATGTTACCTCCTCATACACACATGTATACACACACATACATATACACCATACAACCCCACCCCCTCACATGTTACCTCCCCACACACACATACACACACACACTACACCCTGAGGACCAATCAAGCACTCCATCTTCAGAAAGTCAGAGACTTTCACAACCAGAGGTGAAAGCCCAGATATCTAGGTTGACACTGATGGACAACTAGGGGCTGAAATGAGGTCAAAGAGATGGCCAGAGCCAGGTTGGCCCCGGGCAAAATAGAGAACCACTAAGACCAAGAAACATGCTTGGAAGATGCAAACTCAATAGCACCCATGGGGGGGGGGGAACAAATCTGGAAAGAACCCCGGGCCCAGAGGGGCATGGCCACAGGGTCCACCAGGCAGGGGCAAAGCGGAGGGCTGCTGCCTCCTCCTTCCTTCCGGCCTGGCAGAATTTTCCTCTTGCCCTCCAATTGACTAAAGTTACTTTATAAATCTTGGCATCCGGGACAGAGAGCTGCTCTGGGAATCTTTCCTCTGCCACATAGCACCTGTGGATCCCCGGGCAAATCATTTCATCTCTCAGGGCCCTGGGAAAGCCTCCAAGGGCAGAAGGTCAAGAGGAGCTGCTGATGTGCATGAGATAAGTGGAGGGCGTTTCTACCCCAGAATGAAAACCACACTGATGAAATCGCTGGTCTGGACCAGAAACATCTTTTGGGTTTACTTTTCTGTGCACCTCTGATTTCCCATCAATTGAGTGTAAGCTTCTTGGGCAAGGACTTTTGTTTTTGTATGGCCAGAGTCAAGCAGGTAAGAGGAAAATGCTGGTGGAAGGGGGGAGTGGGAGAGGGAGTAGAAAGAGAGAGACAGAGAGAGACAAAGACAGCAAGACACAGAGTAACAGAGACACACAGGAAAAACAGAGACAAGAGAGAGAAAGGGAGAGAGACAGAGAGAGGGACAGAGGGAGACAGAAAACTAGAGAGAAAGACAGAGAGAGAGAAACAGAAAAAGAGAGTGAAGGAGACTGAGAAAGACAGACAGAGAAGGGAGGAGGTAAAGTGACAGACAGAGACAGAGAGAGACAGAATGAGAGAGAAAGACACAGAGAGAGAGACAGAGAAGGAAGGGAAGAGAGAGACACACACACACACAGAAGGGAGGGGAGAGAGAGAGAGACAGAAAGACACACAGATAGAGACAGAGACAGAGACAGAGAGAAAGTGAGATAGAGACAGAGAGAGACCGAAAGAGAGAGGAACAGAGAGAGACAGAAAAAGAGAGAGAAAGACAGAGAGAGACAGAAAAAAGAGAGGAGACAGAGAAAGACAGAGAGACAGAGATAAGGGAGGAGAGACAGACAGACAGAGAGAAACAGAATGAGAGAAAAAGACACACAGAGAGACAGAGGGAGAAGGGAGGAGAGAGACAGAAAGAGAAGAGAGACAGAGAGACACACATACACAGATAGAGAGAGAAAAGACAGGGAAGGAAGGAGAGAGAGAAGAGAGAAGGGGCAGAGAGAGTGGAGTGAGAAGACAGGAGAGAGAGGAGAGAAGAGAGGGGAGAGAGAAAGAGACAGAAAGGAGAAAGAAGAAAAAGGAGCCAAGAGGCATAGGGGACAGAAAGAGGAATGATAAGGGGGAAGGAGAGAGAGAGAAAAAGAGAGTTTAGGAGGGAGAGAAAGAAAGAGAGGGAGAGAAGAAAGAGAAGAAAGGGGAACAAAGAGACATGGGCAAAAAGAGAAAAGAGAGAGGAGTGAGAAGGGGGAGAGGGAGACAGAGAGGCAGTGTGTGATGCAATGAATAGAAAGGAAGAAAGGGAACAGACATTTATTAAGATGCTTGCTATGCACCAGTCAATATGTTAAATGCTTTACAAGTATCATTGATATTTGATTTTCACAGCAACCTTGAGAGGTTGGGGTTACATACAGTTGAGGAAACTGAGTCACACAAAAAGGTGAAGTGACTTGCCCAGGGTCACACAGCTAGTAAGTGTCTGAGGCTGGATTTGAACTCAGGCCTTCCTAACTTGAGGCTCAGTGCTTTATCCAAGCTACCCAGTTGCCCTTAGAGCACTTTAGCCAATAAGACCTGGGTTTGAATCCTGACTCAGACTTTTAGTAGTTATCACTTCATCTCCCTGGGCTTCAATTTCCTTCTCTATAAAATGGGGCAGGTGGACGTGAGGCCTGCTAAGAGCCTTCCAGGCTGGGATTCTCTGAAGAGACAGTAACAGGGACTCAGAGACAGAAGGCTGGATTCAGAGGTGCCCAGATCTTGCAACAGTCACAGACAAGCCTAGGAAGCCCTGGGCCTGCTGGGCTGGGTCCTCCCTGGCCAAGCTAAGACATCACCGTCATGACCTTGGCCCCAGAGCTCTGCAAGGAGGGCCAAGGCTGGACCGCGCCTCCCTGGGAGGGCCATGTTAGCATTGGTCAATTGTGGGCGACAGAACAGGATCATTTAAGGCATGTCTATAGAGGGATCAGAAATGGGAGCAGAGAATGACAGAAATGCACACAGAGATGCTGACAGCCTGCCAGGCAGGAAGTACAGAGGATGCAAAGGGAAGAAAAGCCTGGGCTGGAGAGTGAGAACCAGGTAAAGAGCCTGAGAGAGGGCGGCAGGGGCCAGGGAAGAAGGGAAGACAAAGAACCAGCAGAGCTGTGGGGCTAGGTGTGGGGAGCATAGCCAATGCAGACACCCAGTCCCAGCAGGCCAGGCAGGCTGGGGCAAGGAGCTGAGGCACCAACTTTGAGACGGTGACATGCACACGCAAGCAGGCGTGTGGAGACGTGCCGAACCCCCAAGACTTGTGTCCTTTCCTCACAGAGGCCTAGACACACAGAAACTGCCCGCTCCTGGTATACAGAACCACCATCCCCACTCCAGATGCATACATCCGAGGAAATGTAAGGACCCCCACTTCCATATGCACATGTAGACTGCCCCTCCACCCCCAAAACCCAAACATAGCCACATCTTTTCAAGCACAGACATACATGAAGACTTGTCTTCTCCCAACCCTCCACACCTTCCAAAACACATGCATTCACAGATACAGACTACATACACACACACACACACACAGGCACACGCACACACACATACTCCATGGGCTGGGGACTGAGCTCTCCCCCACTGGATGGGGAGGTTGGCTTTCCACAAAGTTGTGACTTCCATCTATCTCCTCTTTTCCCTCAGGATCCCCTTATCTCCAGCAGCCAGAGACAGGAAGGCCCAGTGGTAAAGGGTTGGCAGTGCGGGGATGGGCCAGGCAGCTGGGGCCACACAGGGGATGGGGGTGGGGCCCCACTCTGGAGAATGAATTTCATGGGGCTCACCTTGCTGTCACCATCTATCAGGGTTCCTATATAAGTGTGCAGGTGTGTCCAGGACATGTGCAAATATCTGGCAGTGGCAAGCCTGGGCCCCAGATTTGGACTGGGGGAGGTGAGGAGCCCCATGACCCTCTTTCTCCCTGGGGGCCGCCCTACATGGAATTCTGTCTTCCCTTCTCTCAAACACTGGCCCAGCTGGCTTTGGGTAAAGCAGGTGAGAAGTGGGGAGAGGTGGGGCCCCTGAAGAGAACAATGCTCATGGCGGAAGGCTAGACCAGGGTTGGGTGGAAGGTGTGTCTCAGTCACTTACCGAGAATATTGAGGCAGAGGAGACACTTCCTCCACTCAGCTGCCCCAGGGCACTGCAGCGTGGTACACTGTGGATATGGTGGGCATTGTCCTGAAAGGGGGTGAGAGGGGACGATGCTTGAGCCCTTGTCCACTCAGGCCTGCCTGGGGGAGGGCCAGCGGGGTCCACCCTGAGCACAGCTGGCAGTTTCGTCAATAGCAGCTATGATGGTAATTTTTTCTCCTCATCCCCAACAATATCCCCTCTGTTTCCCTAACCCCACCCAGGGGGGTTCCAGGGATCTATTATCCAACCCTCCCCTCCCAGGCCTCCATCCTAGGGTTCCTTGACCATACTTCCTGGGAGCTGAGAGAGCTTTTCCGCCATTCCAAGGACTCTTGTCAGTCACAGAGATGCCTTCCTGGCATAGGGGGGCAAGAGGACCAGAAATGCCAACCCAAGAATCTGCTCCTCCCCCCTTAGGATACAGGAACAGAAGAAAAGATCCCCACATAGGGCCCCAAGCCCAGCCTGGCATCTGGTAAGCTGACCCTACCCTTTTTGGGGTACAGAAAAGAGAGCTCTGAAAAGTGCTCATTAGGGTTCAGAAAGGCTGAAGACTGCCCTCTCTCCCTAATGTCTCCTATGGTCATTCCTAGCCACAGTTTGGCTAGAAAGAAGGGGGTCGGGGGTGTTTGACCTGGAGCTGGAATGGGAGGAGAGGGTGGAGAGTGTCCCAGGAATGGGATGGGTGGCCCTGGCACGTGCCCACCCCATCCTCTATGCCCTCCCCAGCTCCTCCTCCCCCCTTGAAATGAATCGCCAGCCTTAGGGGTTCAATGCCTGTCTTTGTCTAGCAGGAGGGAGGGGGCAGGGGGCTGGGGACAGAGCCTTTGCTGATAAAAAGCAACACAGTACCCAAGACTTCCCCCCACCCCCACCACCCCCACCTCCCAGCGCGCGACTGTCTCCCCTGTGGCATGCCCCCCCAGCCCTCCCTGTATTAACCCTGAGCATTCCAGTCATACTAGCCCTGACATTCTCCTCTCTCACATGGTGACCCTTTTGTGGTACAGCTATGCCAGGCGCAGGACAGAAACAGCTGGTAGTGCCAACCCCGGTTGGAAAATGCCTAGGAGAAGGAATATGGGATGATAGGAGGGGAATAGAGCCCCTTTTTTCACCTGATACGGAAAGGGTGGGCAGAGATGCCCACCTGGGTGCCCCCAGAGATGGCACCTCAGCACATTTCGTTGCAACTACCTTCATGGCCTCAGGTATGGAAAACATCGTCACAAGACCCCACCCTTTCCCGGCCACCCACTCTAGGGGAAAAAAAAAAAGTAATCCTCAGAGATTAAGTATCTTCTTGAAAATCCTCTTCCCCAAAGCTTTACCACAGGTCAGCTAACTCCCCGATGGCCTTGGCCTCACCAGGCAAGTTTTGCCATATGCCTATATGGGGGAGGTACCATAGTCTCTCCATAAGAGTTCTGGGGCAAGGCACTCCCGAGCTCCTGATCACACAGGCCCTACATGGGTGGGTGTGACCGTGTGGGTCTGTGGGTGTCCTGCTCTGGCAGAGTTTGCATCTTTCTCCCTCTCCATTTGCCCCATTTATAAACTGGTTAGGGAGAGAAAGGAGCAAGTGTCCTATAGGACTACCAAGTAGGGGGCAGTCCAAAGAACAATTTGGGGGAAGGGGGGTGCGGGGTGGGGATGGAAGAGAGGTGAAAACAAAGTATTTGGATGGTAGGGGGATTTCCACTTGCTGGTGCCTAGCAGCGGGCACGGTGCCTGAGGACGGGCGAGGGGGGGTGGGGAGAAAGGGCCAGACAGAAGAGGCTGTGAAAGGAGGTGGCCCGGCCAGGCTGGTTGGGCAGCTCTGGGGGAAGGGAGCCTGGAGCTTTGGTCCCTACCCTTTCCGAAACCCCAGACTTCTCACCGAGCAGTTGCTCTCCAGAAAGGCATCCCTCCCTGTCTTTGCCCATCTGCCCACCCTGTGCCAGACTCCTCTTATCTCCAGGACAGGAAAGGGCAGGATGGTACAGATCGCAGTGCTAGGAATAGCCACTTTGTTTCTTTCCTTATCTACTCCCTGCTAGAGGGGACAGCCACCTTCTTAATCAAGGCCACTTAGAGTTGCCCTGGCAACCACTGTTGGGGGGTAGGGAGAGAGGGCCAGAGCTCCGAGGCTGGTGTCTGTGCTCCGTTCTTCCTGGGGGGGAGCAGCTAGGACTTAGGGTCTCCCCCCTGCTAGGAGCAGTCAACCAGGCATAAAAAAGCTGCACCTTCCCCCCTCACTTTCTCTGGATTGGGGGGGAAGAAGAAAAGGGGACCCCTATCAGGCCTTGCCGTCTTTGCCACTTGTCTGTCTCCCCCACCCTGGGGGTCCATATTTCCCCTTGCCCCATCACGATCTTCTGAGCTGAGATGTGGGGAGCAGGAAGGGTGGGGCAAACTGCTCCCCACCCGAGCACCCCCAAAGCTGCCTCTGCCCCCCCTAGAGTCTGGCCACGGGCTCCCCCACGAGGTAAGGGCATGTACCCACCTACCTGGGCAAAGACTCCCGCAGGGGCAGAAAGGAGGGAGGAGGGAGCGAGGGTACAGGCCGTCCCGGGCGGGAACTGGGGGAGTTGGACAGCCGGGCAGGAATCTTCCCTCCCACTTTCCCTCCCTCCCTCCCTCCCTCCCTCCTTCTTCCCTCCTTGCCGGTGCCCCAGCTTCCCCACAATGCAATATGCCCAAACCAACCCAGCCAGCCCGGCCCCTTTACCCGCCCTCCCCCCTCCCCCCCCCCCAACATCCATTCCCAGCTCCTGGACTCCCATCCCAAGGTAGATGGCTGCTGCCCTCTGCAGGCCTTTGAGGGGGTGTGTGTGTGTGTGTGTGTGTGTGTGTGTGTGTGTGTGTGTGTGTGTCCTTGTAGGCATGCGCACACAGGCAATAGGATGAAGGAAAGGGTTGAGATGAAGGCAAGGGGGCTCCTGGTGGAGATGACAGGAAGGACAAGAACAGGGATCCCTTGGTCTAATCTGTCCCTAACCAACCCATTCAGGGCCCACATACCACTTCCAGTAACCTCCTTCCCACCCCCCAATCAAATCATCAATCTCCAAGCATTTATTAATCACCTGCTACATGACAGTCATTGTGTCAGGTGCCAGGGGAACAAAGGATGAAACCATCTTTATTCCCAAGGAATTGACATCTAGGCGAACACAAAATACAATGACACCTCATATTTCTGCGGTGCTCTAAAGTTTAGAAAGCACTTTACATATAGCTGGTTTCATCGTCAAAATAGACTGGTTATTATCCCCATTTTACAGACAGAGAAACAGAGGCCAAAGACTGACACAGGTTAAGTGACTTCAGGGTCACACAGCTGGATTCAAACCCAGGTCTTGGCTCCTGCAGGTGAAGTACTAGGTCACAGAAAGTAGCTTTGTAGGGCTAGGGAGGCTAGAAAAGACTTCAGGTGGTGTGTGCCCTGCATCTCCAAGGAAGAAAGGGATCCTATGAAGCAGAGGTGAGGCAGAATGTCATTCTGGGCATGGTGGATAATTAGCCCATGCAGACAAGAGATGGAAAGTCTCCCATAAGGCCAGTGTGTGGGAAGGAGAGTAATGGCTAATGAAGCTGGGAATCTCAATCCACACTGATTCCTTCCTCTTTGGTCCCCCACCCTCACCCACAGTGAAGAGGGGATTCCAGGGTGTGCCCCTATTCCAATGTCCCCCCCCACCCACACACACCGCACCCCCACACCTCAAGCTGGATTAAGGCTCAAAACTTCTAGTCCAAATAAGCTTGTATTAGGAGTGTGGGAGGAACCAAATGGGAGAAACTGAGGAACCAGGACAAGAGAAGGGATACACTTTCCTATCTTATTGTTCCTCTGCTCAGGAACTGGGCTGGAGAGAATCCAGGAGGTCCCCTCCCAACCTTGCTTCATGAGAGGAAGACGGAAATCCCTAGGGAATTTATGGGAGGAGGTGAAGTTTGCTTTGTCCACTAAGTATCTCTATATATGGGAAAACAAAATCCATGCCACGTCCTATTAAAAACAAAGTTGCTATCTACTTAAAAGAGAAATACACCACAAAATGATTTTAAACTGGTCCCTTTGTTCACTTGCTAAATTAACTGTGGACAATGAAACCTTATTCAATAATTACAGCAGATCAAAACGATACCGCAATTCCCCATTCTAGCCACTTAAGGGAGAAAGCCAGAATGGGGAGGAACGCAGGGCAGGAAATGGTCACAGAGGCAGACACACAACCTCAATGACCTATTTAGTCACACTTCTTGGGGGAACAAAGTCCCCTTGGAAATGAAACCTTGGTAACTTTTTATTCAAAAATAGCCTTTCTTTGTTCCCTAAAGTATGGAACCACAGGAGATATGAAAGAGGCAGATTTCAGGTTTTCTAGTGCTTCTAAACCTTTGTTGTTGTTCAGTTGTGGAATCCGACTCTTCATGACCCCATGGACCATAACACACCAGGGCCTTTCTGTCCTCCACTATCTCCAGAAATCTGTCCCAGCTCGTGTTCGTTGCTTCCATAACACCACCTATCGATCTCATCCTCTGCTATCCCCTTTTCCTTTTGCCTTCAATCTTTCCCAACATCAGAGTCTTTTCCAATGAGCCCTGTCTTATTATTTGGCCAAAGCATTTAAGCTTCAGTATTTGACCTTCCAATGAATAACCTGAATTAATTTCTTTAAGCATTAACTATTTTGATCTCTTTGCTGTCCAAGGGACTCTCAAAAGTCTTCTCCAGCACAATTCAAAAGTGTTGATTCTTCAGTGCTCAGCTTTCCTTATGGTCCAACTCTCACAGCGATGTATTGCTACTGGAAAAACCATAGCTTTGACTATATGGACCTTTGTTGGCAAAGTGATGTCTGTTTTTTAGAATGCTGTCCAGATTTGCCATAGCTTTCCTTCCAAGGAGCAAGTGTCTTTTAATTTCATAGCTGCAGTCCCTGTATACAGTGATCTTTGAGCCCAAGAATATAAAATCTGACATTGCTTCCATTTCTTCTCCCTCTGTTTGCTAGGAAGTGATGGGATCAATTGTCAAGATCTCAGTTTTTTTCAATGTTAATGCTTCTAACCAGCTTTTACACTCTTTTCTTTCATCCTCATCAAGAGGCTTCTGAGTTCTTCTTCACCTTCTGCCATCAGAGTGGTATTGTCTGCATATCTGAGACTGTTGATATTTCTCTTGGCAACCTTAATTCCGGTTTTTGATTTATCCAGTCTGGAATTTTCACATGATGTACTCTGCATATAAGTTAAATAAATAAGGTGACAATATACAACCTTGTCATACTCCTTTCCTCATCTTAAACTAATCAGTTGTTCCATGTTTGGTTCTAACTAGTGCTTCTTGACCTGAATACAGGTTCCTCAGGAAACCAGTCAGGTGATCTGGCACTCCCATCTCTTTGAGGACTTGCCACATTTTGTTGTGATCCACACAGTCAAAGGTTTTAGTGCAGTCAATGAAGCAGAAGTAGACGTTTTTCTGGAACTCCCTAGCTTTCTCCATAATACAGCAAATGTGGGCAATTTGGTCTCTAGGTCCTCTGACTTTTCAAAAACCTGCCTGCTCTTCTGGTAATTCTCAGTCCACATATTGCTGAAGCCTAGCTTGCAGAATCTTACTCATAACCTTGCTGGCATGTGAAATGAGCACAATTGTTCAGTAATTTGAATATTCCTTGGCATTGCCCTTCTTTAGGATTGGGATGTCAACTTATCTTTTTGAATCCAGTGGCCACTGCTGAGTTTTCCAAATTTGCTGGCCGATGGAGTGCAGCACTTTAATGATATCCTCTTCTGGGGTTTTAAATGGCTCAGCTGGAATTCTGTCACCTCCACTAGCCTTGTTGTTAACAATGCTTCCTTAGGCCCACTTGACTTCATTCTCCAGGATATCTGATCAGTAGCCACACCATCTTCGTTATCCATGATGTTAGGATCTGTCTTGTGTAGCTCTTTTGTGTATTCTTGCCACCTCTTCTTAATCTCATCTACTTCTGTTAAGTCCCTACCATTTTTGTCATTTATCATGCCCATTTTTGTATGAAACATTCCTGATATCTCTAATTTACTTGAAAAGATCTTGCGTCTTTCCTATTCTATTGTTTTCTTCTATTTCTTTGCATCACTCATTTAAGAAAACCTTCTTATCTCTCCTTACTATTTTCTGGAATTCTGCATTCAGTTGGGTATAGCTTTCCTTTTCTCCTTTCCCTTTCCCTTTCCTTCTTTCCTCAGCTATTTGTAAGACCTCATCAGACTGCCACTTTGTTTTCTTGATCTTCTTATTCTTCTTCTTTTTTGAGAATGTCTTTTTGTTGCTGCCTCTTGTACAATATTGCGAATCTCTGGCCATAGTTCTTCAGGTACCACATCTACCATATCTAATCCCTTAAAAACTATTCGCTTCCACTTCATATTGTTATGAAGAAGACCCCAGACTCAGTTCAGAAGACTGGTGTCTGAAAGACTTTTTATTAAAGAGGTTGAAGTGTGTCCTGTCGATTCTCGTGAGAAGCAGGCACACCTCCTTTGAAGGGGAGAGTGCGCCAAGTACAGAAGCAAGAGCGAGCTTTATAGTTAGTAATTGCCTAAATCCTCCCTTCTGGATCAGGATTGGTCCTAATCCTTCTGGGTTACAATCTTCCTTATATGCCCTGTTCATATATTTTATATACATGTGATCCCCACCCCTTAACATACATTTTTGTGCCTAGAATTGTGTTGTCACTCCCCCACCCCACCTCCCGGATGGAGAAGTTAGCCTGTCTGTGCTGATTTCTTATCTACTTATGTGGAAACTCTTTTATTTCTCACAATATCCATAAGAGATGCTATTTAGGTCACACGTATATGGTCTGATGGTTTTTCCCTACTTTCTTCAATTTAAGTCTGAATTTTGCAATAAGAAGCTCATGATCTGAGCCACAGTCAGCTCTAGGTCTTGTTTTTTGTTTTTTTATTTTGGCAATTGGGGTTAAGTGACTTGCCAAGGTTCACACAGCTAGTAAGTGTCAAGCGTTTGGTCTGAGGCCAAATTTGAACTCAGGTCCTCCTGACTTCAGGGCCGGTGTTCTATCCACTGGGCCATCTAGCTGCCCCTCTAGGTCTTGTTTTAACTAACAGTATAGAACTTCTCTACCTTTGGCTGCAAAGTATATAATCAATCTGATTTTGATATTGACCATTTGGTAAAGTCCATGTGTAGAGTTGCCTTTGTTGAAAAAGAGTGTTTGCTATAACCAATGAGTTATCTTGACAAAACTCTATTAGTCTCTGCCCTGCTTCGTTTTGTACTCCAAGGCCAAACTTGCCTGTTATTTCAATTATCATTGCAATTCCCTGTGATAAATGTGACATCTTTTTTTGGTGTTGTTTCTTGAAGATGTTGCAGGTCTTCATAGAACTGATTAACTTTGGCCTCTTCAGCATCAGTGGTTCAAAGCACAGACTTGCGTTACTGTAATGTTGAATGGTTTGCCTTGGATTCAAACAAATCTCATTCTGCCATTTTTGGGATTATACCTAAGCACTGCTTTTTTCACCCTTTTATTGACTATGAGGGCTACTCCATTTCTTCTAAGGGATTCTTGCCC